ATTTAAAATCTGAAACTTTTTTTTTTCTGAAGTGAAATGTAATGTTAACAAAATTATTGTAATTAATAAATTAGCTTAGAATATGCAGATGTAAATTTTAAAATATGTTTTTTTTTCATTCTTATCATAAGTTGTAAGTGAGATTATCCTAAATAGCAAATTTCTTGTATTCAGAGTCGTACCACTTGTGATAATAAGAAGTTGCTCATTTTGTATTTTAAATTAGCTCTTACAAATTTAACCGCGAAGGACCGAAAACTTCTTATCGTAGTTATGCGTCAAAGCAAACTTCCGCAGTTCCAGCCAAACTATATCAGGAAAACTAACATAAATCTTGATCTGTCTTCACGAGAAAGAGGCTGTAACGATTCCAGCTTTCAAAAATCAAATAGCACGTGATGTTATGCAGCATTTTTTACTAAATCTTTTTTTCCTTTCATGCCTTCGTGCTGTTCAAAATAATTCATGCAAGGTTTAGTAACTGTTTTTATTTGGTATTTAAAGAATATGCTGATCACACTCAAGGTTTTAAAAAAATAGCAGCTTAAAGCTTAAGAACAAAATTCTGCTACATAATTAATTAATTTTATTATGGTACAAGCACACGAGGACTGTCTGCTTAGGAGGAGATGTCTTCGTGAAGGACTTTCTAAGAGAATCTGACTTGTATTCATCCTACACATGAGGGAAACCATGAAAACCAACCATACAGCCAGCCTGTTCGTCTGAGTTCCAACCAAGGTCCAATTCAAGCGGCCACATGTGGGACCCTCTACTAGATGACATATAAGTTTTCGTATACTCTTTGTTTGGTGGGTTGGTTGACCATGGCAAAACTCACAAGAGCTATCTGCCGAAAAGTAGGGATGACATTGTAGAGCCCATTTTTAGGAAAACCGGCTCATATTCTCTCGAATATTTTAAGTCATCATCTGTTGATTAACAGCAATTAACAGCACTATTTTGCCCAAAATACAAAGAATATTGTAGATAATACAATCATAAACTATGATTTATAGCGAAGTTGAAAGACAATATTTGAATAACGCGAAAATGTTAATCGATTCATCTCAACTGTTTTTTTTAAAAAAAGAGTACAGTAATCCGTGTTATTAACTTCAATAAAAAATTCTTGAATTAGGTTATAGTATTTACCAATGAAGTAGTAATTTTATAGCGCCAGAAAAATAAGCAAAGTTCGCTGGGTGTCGCCGTACAAGCACTGAAAATTTTTGCGACCTGCAATTTAATTAGCAGTTTCGCGAAAATTTTCGAGGTAGAGGATTTTTTAGAAGTAGGGTTAAATGTCTACCAGAAGAGAAGCAGTAACTCAAAAATTAGTACATTACTAAACAAACTTTAGAGTACACATTTTTTTAATTGAAATTTACATTTATAAGCCATTGAACTCTTGAAAATGCATTCAGCAGTGCTATTCCAAATCACTATTACCATTTAATTCAGTGATGTTTCTGTACATTATATTTTAATGACCAAATTTTGCACAAATTTCCTCCATTAAGTAATACGTAAGAGAGCTAATTAGCATCTAAATTATTTGTCTGCATTGACAGACAACAGAAGATGCCATTTATAACTTCCGGCAAAGACTTTTCCTCTTTTAGACATCCAGTAGTACACTGATTTGGTTTATTCTGATTATGACAAAGCAAGCTAAAGCTATTTGCATAAGAATAAGGGATGCCATTGGAGGACTTCCAAGCAAAACTGGTTCGCATCCCGGTTACATAGGGAAAAACCACGAAAACGTCCATACAGCCAATCCATTCGCCTGGAATCATATTAAGTCGAACTACCTCTTGGCCACTAGTGGACTTCCAGTAGAACTTAGAGTACTTCTAAATCTCGGTTTGGATTTAGGAATAGGATTACTTTGCAGTGAGTTTTTGCAGATATTAAAAAATGTACTAAAAATAATTTTTAATTCTAAAATAATCTAATAACTACAATACTAATTTTAAATAACAACAAAACATCCGAAATTCGAAAAATTTTTTCGACAATCGAGTATTAATCTTACAGTTACGAAACTTCTTTTAGAAAAAAAAAAAATCTTTTATAATCCAGAAACATTCGTGCCATGATAAAGTTATTTCCGCACTCATCTGTTGTTACCAACTTGGAGGTTCAAGGGTAGTATGCAGCTCATCCTTTTCTGCAGTTTTATTAGATTATAGTACATCACATGAGAGTTATCTGTATAGGACGGGGGAATAATTTCCTGGAGGATTTTCTAAAAAAAACTGGAATCATATTAATGTTAAACGTAGAGAAAATCACTCCCATGCAACCCTCTTATTTGCCGGGACCTGAACTCAAGTTATCTGCTCACTCGCTTGTGGGCTTTTTCTACGGCCAGTGAGAAGGAAAGAAGACTTGCTGCCGATTGAGGGCTTTTTGGTGAGTGCATAATTACGCTTGTGGACCTAAGAAGATTTTTTACTATCGATTGAGGGTTGACAAGAAAGGAAGATCTTTACTACCGACTAAGGGCTTTTTGGTGAGTGCATTATTTTGCTTGTGGGCTTTTTCTATTGCCAGTGACAAGGAAATAAGATTTTTACTATCTATTGAGGGCTTTTTGGTGAATGCATAATTTCGCTTGTGGGCCTTTTCTATTGCCAGTGACGAGGAAGGAAGATTTTTAATACCGATTAAGGGCTTTTTGGTGAGTACATAATTCGCTTGTAGGCCTTTTCTACAGCCAGTGACAAGGAAAGAAGATTTTTACTATCGATTAAGGACTTTTTGGTGAATTATAATTTCGTGCTTTCTTCTGAAAGCATTTTAAGGTTGTAACTGATGTTTCTTCGCAAACTGATATTTGTTACATGAGCATCCACAGTATTTCTAGGAATTCATATTGCATTTTAAGGGTATAGATATCTTACGGGTATAGAAAATCGTATTTGGAATTTCTTATATATGTAATCTTGCGTTTGATCGCGATGTTATTTTATATATAAAACTATTTACAAAAGATATTTGTAAGGGAATATAACTAATAACTTGAAGTTATTTCTTCAAGACACATTCCTTAACATTTGCTAAGCAACACATAGTGTACCGCCTTTAGGTATCAACATATTTCTTTTTATGACGTATGACCCTCACTCGTATATATGATACATGCATACAAAAGGGCACACTGATGTATATATTAATACATTCACGTTTAACGAATATAGATATGTAAGCAGAGAGTTAACTGCTGAAAATAAAAATAACAAGTATTCGCTTTGTGATAAATATCATAAGAATTTAGGTATAGGTGACAGGTGAAGGCAGGCCCGGACACCCGGACAGCTTTATATGACAAACCGGGTGTCGACCGGTACCCGCACCTATCTAGAACAACACAACCCTCGCGGCTTTCCGCGAGGGCTGCATCGAGAATTTATTAATGGAGAATATGAGGTTTTGACGTGGCCAAACAAGGGCGTATACATATATATGCTTCAGCATACAATTAATAAAAATTTGGCTGGTATAGGTACATTGGATACATATGTATATTGGCCTAAGTGGTTAATGAGATAGAAATGCAACTAATTATGTAGCTGAAGAATTTTTTTGGCGCGGAAGGGGTACCTAAAAACCCATAGCTGATGGTAGGATTTTATGAGATAAGCAAATAAAATAAGATCCAATTTCCAAGGACCACAGTTCTCTAATTGTTAATACTTCCGAAGGATCTGAGATTCTTTTGTTATCCTATCTTTTAAATGTCCAAATTATACCTGTCTAGGAAACTTTTATCAAAAGAAAAGAAAAAAAAAAAAAAAGAAACATCGCCACTAACGAATCCTGAAAAATTGAAACTCCTTTCTAAGACTAGAAAGCAGTCAAATTTAAGTTGTGTACTACATAATCTATAAGAAGATAAAAAATATTAATTTAACTTTTTAAGGGACACCGAAATTTTAAATAGATGTATATATATAAAGAGTAAAACTCTGGCGACTACCTTCTTAAGGCGACCACCGTCGAAAGTGATCAATATTTCTAAGAATATATTTCTATAGTGAATATATCCTCTAAGACCAAACTGGAACTATTGGTGGTCACAGTAGAAACAATTCACTATATGATTTTACTAAAGCTGTAAGGTTTCTCTAAATATATCCACTGTTCAAACTTGGTTATAAAACATTACGTTAATTTTCTAATCAAATTTTTACAATTTTAAATTTTCCATAACATGATGTTAAATTTGAAAAAAAAAGTGATTTATGTTGTCTGAAAAGAAATCAGAAATTTTGATTTTTAACATATTTATATATAGGGTGGTCGAGACTGATCCTAGATACGAACTTCCATTTACAGAGTTTCTCAAAATGAAATGCAGAATTTTATAAACATGGTTTCAGATCTCAGACGAAAGTTTTTGTCAGTAAAAAAAGCATTTTTTTAAATTCTATTAAAATTATAATTACTACAATAAAATCATTTACGGGTAACTATTATATTCATTGGGATATTTGCAATAAAAGCTAACAAAGTTTTTAATTTTAATTAATAAAAGAATTTTTTATTAATATAATAAATTTTATTTAATAAAAGTAATTTTCCTTTCATTAAACAAATTTTCATTTTTTAACAATTGAGCTTTTCCAATGAATAATTTTAAAAATAAAATAAAATTTGGGCTATATATCATAGCATCTAAAAAAAAAAGGCACATATTTACTGAAGGAAAGCAAAGAGCTTTTAAACGGCGTTTAAAATATTAATTAAATTTTAAAAAATTATTCAACAATAATTAAAGAAATATTTAGGCTTCTAAAGGCCAAAAAACCATAACTGTTTTTGCAATAAATATAAATTTATAAAATGACATGGAAAAAATATCTGAATATATTTCATTTTAATAAATGATAGATTTATATTATTTCGTGTAAATAAATACCTTAGAGAAAATACCAGATTCAATCACTATTTATAATATTAAATAAGAGTTATCAAAACAAAGTACTCACGTAAGTTCCGTAATAGGACATTATCCTCAAGGAATCAGACCTGCATCTCTGTCAACGGAGATACATCAAGAGAGTGAGCGAAACAAACGGTGGTGTCCCTGCCTATCCCCCCACATGAGGATGTGACGACACAGCGAAGATACTACAACGTCTAATTTTCATCCAAGATCACAGAGGTTGGCAAACATCCCACGATAAGGGACCATCGACTCCGACACTCCGGAGTGTGTTGTTGCAGCGCGGGTTGTGGGCGGCCGGCTCGGGTAGTTATAAAACTCTAATTTTAGAGTAGCGCGGGGACTTTTTTCTGCCTCAGAAGTCAGATGGATGATTCCATCCCGACTTCCTTCTCTGATGCAAAGTTAAATGATTAATTCTTTAATAATTAGGCATCGCGGAGTTGGTATCAAAATGGAACAGTTGTGACATAAGATTCATTTCGCCCTATGCATGGAAAAGAGCGGATGTTCTTGATAACAACGAACAATAAATCTGTAGGCTTTGTTTGGTTTTGCATTTAAGCATTGGATTTCAATCCAGAAGTTTCGAATTTCATTTTCTGAATCAGAAACTGTTTTCTCGCGGTTACACTTTTCAAAGAAATAACAATTCTGGTAAAGTGACTGCAAGTTAAAAACAAATTCTATTTAAAACTCTTCATGTACTTCTGTATAGTTCCTTACGATAAATGATAAAGCAAAAGTTTTATTTTATAAAAGATAATTCATATGTAGTGTTGCTGTGCTTATCGCCAGGTTCGAGCGTATATCTCTCTGAGCGACCTTCTAAATGATCATGATGTTGCTCAGAAGCCTCAGACAATTGTGGTAACAAGATAACCTCTCTCTACCCTAGTTTCCCAGCTCCATCCCAGTTTTGGTCGATAACTCCCTTTCGCCAGAAGATAAAACTATAATCTTTTCCTCCTCCCACATTCTCTTTCAGAAAAATTTGCCTCTATAGACTTTATAAACATCCTCATTTTTCAAAAACATTACACATTTTTAAACTCCCATGTCTTCTCCAAGATTCGTTAATTTAAAGGTCTTTCAAATAGCTCTTTAGTTTTCTTGGGTTAAAATTTAAACATTGGTAATTACACCCGAGGTAGAAAGTCAACAAAGAAGACAAATAATTGTCGAGTGCTTTGCTAAAATCTGATAAATAAGCCTTCGTGAGCAGTGTGCAGAACATGTTATAATGTTACACGTGAGTAAATCCATTGCTGGAATTACAGGTTGCCTCATTTTATTTAAGTTTCCCTTTACTCCCTTTAAAATATATTGAGCTTTTTTCTTAGAAATTTTATGGCATTCCTGCACCGGTCCAGTTCATTGATGATATTTTGTTAATCATATCTTCTTCCTTCTTATCAGTGCTTTATGTTCTGGTATTCTCACAAAACTTTCAAACATTTTAATTACTCTAATACTAATATTAAGCTAAATAGCATTCTTACTATGGCCTCTAAGAATTCAATTATTAATACTGCAATTACCATTTAAGTTTCCTAAATTTTTACCATTACTACCTGTACCTTGAACTGTTCGCCTCATACATTTTTCTACTTTTCCGACAGAATATTACAGTATTTCTATTAATTTCGTGCAGTAAATATATAATAGTTTATTTATTATCATAACAGTTTATTCATTATCATAATAGTTTATTTATAACACCTAGTAGTTTTATATAATAGTTTATTCATTATCGCTACCAACTAAAAATTCTTTAATTAACACTGTAGGGCAGCGGTGCCCAACCTTGTGCTCGCCGATCGTTTTGTATGTGCTCGCCAGCCCGATTAGGTGCTATGAACAAAAAATATTTTTTAAAAAAATATTCATTTATTTTTCTTAATTGTTAAAATATGGTAAGCATTTATAGTCATAAAAGATATCTTGCAAGACGTTATAAAATAATTGATTACTGACTGATGAACTTGATAGCGAATATGAAATCTTATTGCTTCGTTTCGACGTTAGATGGCTCAGCAGGGGAAAAGTACTTCAACGATTTGTAGTTTCGCCATTAAAGCAGTTTTTGGAATCCGGAAACGAAAGCTATAAAGAATTGGACGATAACAATTGGTTATCCGATCTGTATTTTCTCACGGTATAACAGCTAAACTGAACAAATTGAACGAAGATCTCTTGGGGAAAGAAAAAAAAAACTTTTTCAATTGACTGGGACTGTAACTGCTTTTCAGATAAAGTTAAATTTGTGGATAACAAATTTCACCCATTTTCAGAATTTATCGAGCCAAATTAATAACCACAAGGCAACTGAAACAGAGAAATACTCGGAAAACCTAAATGCACTGAAAAAAAATTTTGAACTCCTCTGATTTCCATAAAGTTCAACCAATATTATTATTCATCTCAAAACCATTTGCCGAAATTAATATTTCAGATGTATCATATAAGATTGGAAATATGTTTAACAAAAATGTTGATGTTTTGGAATCGGCTCGCGATAGACTAAAATGTGCTGGCGATAGGCCAAAGGTAGGTAACACTGCTGTAGAGTATCATTTAATTTTCTAACCAATTATTTTAAATACCTTTCCTACCAAGCCTTCTTTCATTTCCCTGCCACCATGCAAATTTCCAACAGGGGCGATATTCAAATTAGGTAGAAAGAAGAAAGTTTTTAAAGGAAGGTTTTGGAGAATGAAATCAGAACGTATTCTGCTTGCTTCAAGAACATGTTGTTAACTTTGATTCTCTAACGATTAGAATTCTACGGCTTTGAGTATTCTTGCCATTAGGCTCGTTTACTCCGACGTTGAATCAGAGTCAGCTTGCGCGATAGCTAAATTGTGAAGCCGTTAGACTATACTTAAATTTCATCAATTTTAAGTTATCCGTTACCTTTTGATTTAAGCCAAATGTGTTGGCTTCTGTAAGCACGAGTTGGTACCGACTGTTAAACTTTATTTGGGTTAATAAAGGATTCTGTATAACCTTCTCTTAATTTTGTAGCATTTTAAAAAACTTAATAATAATTCACTAAACGGTCTTATCAGTGTCCCGTACATTTTATTTGATAGCAAAGAATACCCGACGTTACAACATTATATTGAATGAAGGAGTGTTGAAAGTAGCACAGTTTCCTCTAAATAAATGAAAAGGAGTGTTGTATATATTTAACTGCAGATGTATATTTTATTAATATTGGACAGATGACCGAACATCGAGATAGGATAAAAACTAAGACCTCTTGAATCAAATAGTTAGCAGTATTATGAATGCAAAAACTTTGACGTAAGTTAAATACTAAATTAAATACAAATTAAATTCAAATTAAACGCAAATTAAATGTGCAGCATTTGTGCCTATAACTGAGCTGCCTAATTAATCCATAGAGTATCCAAAATAGCAAAATACAAAGAAACACACACTATTCCTGAGAAGGGATAGCGGTAAAAAAGCGAAATCATGTTCTTCCTATATAATAGACTACAATGAGTATGATAAATTTGGCTTTCAAAAAGAGTGGATTCATTAATTTGAAGAATCCGTAAGAAGCTTGATTTCACTGAAGCCAAAACACAACTACTTTAAGAAAACTTTCAGCTTTTTCTGATTTTTGAATTTTTTGCTTTTCCTTGTAAAACAGAGAGTAATGTACACTTCTAAAACAGGCTGCTGCTTTTAAAATTAAATGCTCTCAAACAATTCTCACAAATTCAATGCTCAATTTAAATGCTCTCAAAAATAAATATGCTCGATCTACATGTTTTTCAATTTAACAATAGAATATAATATTACTAAAACGCTAATCAAGGGATTTGCTTACTCTTCCAGTTATTTTACCAAAAACGATCTACAGTTGTTGAAATCCAATGAATCACACACAGCTGTAAAAGAAGAACTATTTCCTTTGAATACTAATTTTTCTTCTATTCCAACGTATCATCATGCTGAAATTTTCATATCTACTTTGAAAATGACTGAAAATTTACAGAATGTTCGAAAAGCTACCATGAAATTTTGCACAATTGTTAACGGCAACGTACACCTAAAGACGTCGGGATCATGTTTATTTTCCTAAATCAAGGATATGAAAAGAATTCTATGGTAATAATTTTTTATCACGCTGGGACCCCACCACACTTTTCAGCGTTATAGTGATCCTTTGAAGCAATATAAACACTTTTTTTTTTTTTTTTTTCCAGGATCGTAGACTGCGTACGTAAGACTCCATTCCCTAGTTTACTTGAAGTCTGTATTTTCCTCCAATGGATTTTTCTTGGCAAAATCCGATGGATTTTCAAGTGAAAACAGTTTATAGAGAAAAGATTAAAAGTTTAACTCACTTGAAAGGATCACTGTAATAATTGCAAGATCAATTCTACATCCTCTTATTCTCAAGTATGAACTGATGATGTTATTCGATATTATAATAACCGTATTATACAAAAATGCTGTAAATGATTTTCAGAATTCATCGTTATTAATAATTGCAATAAAATATTCGTAAGGTTAAAGTGCATAAAAAACATCGTAAAGTTGTTCGCAAGGACTACGTTGTAAACAACATCAAATTCCATTAATATTGTTGCATGCGTACGGGTTCGTAATAGATTGAATGCCTACAGGCCCGACGATAGGTTAATAAAAATTTATTTTAGCAAAATAAGCATTTCAAAGTTCCGGAATCATGCTTAATTCTTTCTGGAATTTTTTCGAGGAAATAAGCGTTTGAGATTTACTTCGTAATTTTTAATATAGATATTTTGAGTTTTTATGTATTTTTGCCTGCTCGCGAAATTAGAACTGAATTCATTAAATGAGAAATACTCAATCGTCTGTGAAAAACTGTTTCTTTTTTTTTTTTTTTTGTTTGCTTAATTTCTTTTATACATAGTTCTAGCTTTATTATAGTATTTGAATAGAACATGTGGCAACGATTAGATAATTCTTTAAATGATATACATTTTGTGCATTCTGAGTTATAATATGAATGAAATATAATACTGTTAAGTAAACCTAGCGCCAGAGTGTCGCTATGGTAAACAAAGTGAATTTTAAAGAATGCATATATTCTATTGTGGTTTATGCGCTGTCGGCGAAGTAGGTTTAATTCAATCTAATAAGTTTAAATAAAATGCAAAAAAAAAAAAAAAAAAAAAAAA